AGCGTGCCGGCGGCGCGGCCGCGGCGCGCGGCCCGAGGCTGGCCAGCGGAGCCACGCGGGAGGGCAGAAGCGAGCAGAGACCTCGGAGAGCAGGACGGAAGGGGCCCACAAACACACAAATAAATACTCACAATTAACAGGAATCTCTATATTTGTTCCATAGTTTCTGGGTTTCTGTTTTCCCCCCAGCTTAAAATATTTTCCAATATTTTCATGGGACTCGACGATTCATTGTGTCTGTGTGTTTGTTTCCTTCCTGAAGAACATCCACCCTCATTAAACGAGCGCGTCCCACCACTCGCAAAGTAGCTGCTCGCAGATGGCCTGGCTCCGCCGCGGAGGATCCACGATGAAGCACACCAGAGCGGGCACGTGTGTTTTTTGTCGGACGTTCGCGAGTAGGCACCTTGCGAAGAGTGGAACGCGCCCCGACACGCGAAGCCGTCAGTACTCGCGAACCTGCGCGGCGACTCATCAGAATCACCCCGACACACGAAGCCGTTCAGTACTCGCACCCACAGAAGGAATCGACCAGGGCAGGGCTGCCCGGTCAACGCCCGGGGCCGTTTAGCACACGCCAGGTTACGGGCCCGGGCGATGTTCCTCCCTTGAGGATCTCGATCCTCGCCCCCCCCCGATCCTTCTGGCTTCTGAGTACCTGGTCCTCGTCCGCGCCGCCTGCCAACAAATCTGCCGCGACGACTTTTGCCTCCATCCAACTCTCGACCCATGTTGCATCTTTGGGGTACCTCGTTTGTCACATCGCACCAACCGTCTGTGTCGCATCCATATAGGATCCATGTCGAAGGCGTCGACTCCGCATCGATTCCGCGTCGAATCCGTGCCGAGTTCACGCCGAACCCGCGTCGAACCCACGTCGGAGTGCACTAAGAGACTGCCCCTTCACAGGACAGCGAAGGCACCCCGAAAGCGCAACACATTCAGGCGCAACCTCCGCCTCTCCCTTGCAGTGCGGGCGCAAGGGAGGTTCTCCGCCTCAGCCCGCGCCGCGCCGCGCGCGGCCGGCACGGCGCGACGCGCGGCCCGAACTGCTTCCGAAGACCTCCGAAGAGCCTCCGGGAAGCCAGAGAGGAGGACGCCTCCAGGGCTCTGGAAGAGGAGGGAGAGAGACGAGGGCCTCTGGGGGCCTCGGGCGCGCGCCCGACGGGCCCCTTGTCATATGGGGGTCCGTCTCCTCTTCCCCCCTCAGCGGCGGCCGCCACCCCCCAGCCCTACTGCCGAGGGGTAGGCTCGCTCACCGCCAAGGGGGGGGCTTCGTGATGGTGTAGGGCTCTGCGAGCTCGATGCCGCCGAGCCCCTCGAAGGTGTTTTCTCCCTCGGTGGCCACGCGCCCATGTTACGGGCATGTTCCGAAGTAGCGGTCGTAGTCGGTCACGTATTCGATGAGGCCGCTTGTCTGTTGTTCGTCGTTGTGGCTGCTTCCGCGTGCTGCCGCCAGGATTCGTGTAGTGTCGCCGTCGCCGTCGCTGGTGTTCTAAAAGTGCTTGCGTGCGATACAGGGGCCGGTCATGGTGACAAGGTTGTGGCTCTTCAGTTGTTGTAGTTCGTGCGGGGCGGTTGCCGTGATCGGTCCGATGTTCATCAAGCAAGCTGTGTCGTTGGCGATGCACGTGTACATGGGGAAGATGGCGTCTCGTATCGTCGCGCTGTCATCCACGATGGTTGTTGAGTCGTGTCAGCTGGAGTGTATTCTACCCCACGGGTGTTGCTCATCGCGCAGCCGTTTGCTGTTGTCGAGGCTCCATATGGACTTCCTGTAGTAGATGGCGTCAATTGTACCGTTCCGCGAGGCGTCGTGGATGGCAATGTTGGTGTGGTCGGGATTCCAGCCGTTGTACGCCTGACTCGTGTGGTTCGCTACGGTAAGAAGTCGTACTCGTCGGTGTTGTAGGTTTGCTTGCTGCTTAATGCCGTTGACAATGCGCATAGTGTCGTCACTGGTGGCACTCTGGTCGGTGATGAGCAGGATTGTGAACGTCCGATATGGCCTGTCGTCGCATGCCTCCGATGTCTCACCGTTGATTGTTTCGAGCCGCGTGTGGCACAGGCGACGCTCGCGTTCCTGGGCGCCTTCCGTCTGTCCTCGTCGCTCGTCTAGCTCTTCACCTGCTTGCGGTGACAGAGGAACTGGTGCAGGAATCATCGTGGGTTCGTGGTCCGCGCCTGTTCGTAGTGCGAGTGGAGGTCCGTGGAGTTGGACGCAATGGCGTTCTGCGCAGTCTTCGGGTAGTCCTTTGCTCTTGTTGGTCCGCCGTATGCCCCATATCTCTTCGGATATGTCGTCTGCTGCGTCGTCGTCGAGCCGTTTGCTGAAGTGCATGGTGAGTGTGCCAGACTGTCGGCTGGCGCACATGTGCTTGAACAATCGGCTGACCGTCCAGTAATCCCTCATACAGACCTGGCATGTAGACCCGTGGATGTAGTTGATATTTACCTGCCGGCTGTGCTTCGCGTGCATGTGCTTTTGATGCGCTGATTTGCCGTGAAGGATTTACCCGCATTCGTAGCAGAGGTACCTGATGTCGTGTTGTGGAGCTTCGCTGCCAGGCGTCGGAATAGTAGTGTCGTTGCAGATGTGTTTCATGCGTCGTCTCCAGGCAGCTGTGGCTGCTTTCTCTTTGTTGTGCTCGATAGCTGTCTTGTAGGCGTGTGTGGCTGTACTCTTGAATTTGGAGGGTTCGTCTTTTGCCATGCCTATTCACTTGCGTCTGACGTCGTGATTGTGCGTGGTATGGTGCTTGCTAATGTATGTATTGATGTGGTGGAGATCGTCTGCAATCGAAGTGGAGCATCAGCCGTTGTTTGTGATGTCGTAATCAAGCAGGGCTCTTAGTGTCGTCGGGCACGCGGTGGTGAGCCGCAGAATCTCTCGTAGCCTTGCTTGCCGTAGTCGTTGTGGGAGTGTCACGATGCCTGCCCTGCCGATGATCTCGATGTTGGTGATCTTCTCACACTGAGTTGTCTGGTGGTCGATGCCCAATGCCAACCTCGCAGCCGCTGTGTATGCACTGGTGATCCTGCCCGTCTCGGCTTTTTGTTTACAGGCATCCAGGCACATGCGTTGTATAGTAGTCGTGGGTAGCCAAAAGCATTGAGGTAATGGATCTTGGCCGTGGCCGTGGTCTTGCCGCGCTCCTCCTCCTCCTCCTCATCTCCCTGCTCCTCTTACTCTCACTCCTCCTCTTCCTCCTCCTCCTCCTCCTCCTCCCCTCCTCCTCCTCCTCTTCCTCCTCCTCGTCCTCGTCCTCGTACCCCCGGCCCAGCGGATCACCTGTCTCACGGCCCGCCCGCACGGGCGGCAAGACGGGCGAAACACTGCGAGGGGGGCTCGGCGCACACCTCCCCCGAGCTACTCACAGAGGCCTCCCAGGTGGGGTCGGAGAACAGTCGACGCGTATAGCAAGAATGTGCGATAAGGATGCAAGGGCCTTGGACGGCCACGTCGAAGCTGGTCGAGCGGGGCGCGGCCAACGAAAGCGGCGAACGATGGACCGGGGAGGCAAGGATGCAAGGGTTCGCTTGGGAAGGTTGCCCATCCTTGCTATGCGGGTTGACTGTAGCTGGGGTCGGAGAGGGGCGGAAAAAACGGGGAGGGGTTCGGCGCACATCTGCTCCGAGCTGTTCAGCGAGTGTCGGGGGGGGGGGCTATCGCAAGAGGCCCCCTAGATGGGGTCGGAGTGGATGGGGTCAGAGGATCGCGCGGCGATTTTTGACGCCCGGAATGGGTACGGAAAGAATGGGTAAAATGCCCAACAGCAAATGTTGTCCCAAACCAACAGCGGCCGCTGTTTGGCAGGCGGCCTTCTGTCTCGAATGGACAAAGGCCGCGGCGGCGCGGACAGAGAGTTGTTCAAAATGAACAGGAACTGCTGTTGGACACTGTACACATTCTTTCCGTGCCCATTTCGTTCGTGCAGAGCGATGCCGATGCATTACAGATGCATCGGCGATGCATCGGCGATGCACCGGCGCTGCATCGTCGACGTCGGCAATGCATCGGCGGCGTCGACGTGAAGCAAATCGGACCCTACGTCAAGCCGCATCGCCGATGCATCGGCGATGTGGCACGGTCATCCGACCCCCTCTACCCCGACCACACCTATAGGAGGCCTAGAGCTGCTCAGCAAGCGTAGGGGCGGCATCGCGACGGGGGAGTACGAGTCAGGGCGACGGGCTGTATAGAATCGGCTATACGCAAGCGTGACCCTGGGTAAGAGTGAACTTTGGTGCGCGACATCTTGGGTGCAGCGGGGGGACCAAACCTGGGCGCGCAAGCAGCTGCTGCTGCTTCGTTTTCAGCCGTCTGGGGACCCATCTGTGCGCACACCAAAGGTCACTCCGGCGAAAGGTCACTCTTACGTCTAGTCGATAGAAGCATCCGCTGCCCCAGGCCTGGCCCCTCCTGGGCACACGGGAGCGGTGCGTGCGCCCTCGCGGCTGGGCCGGGGAGGCACGGACACTGCTCCCTGGGCCCAGGATGGGGCCAGGCCTGGGGCGGTGGATGTGCATATTACAGCAGGAGCTCGACCACGAGAAGCCTTCCACGAGCAACCCGACACTGAGACCCCGGGACGTCCATTCCGTCTCGGTGAGGGAACGTCCCGCGTCCCATCGCAACAGCATCGAAACCGAAGAGGCCCAGGGCACCCTGGAGGCAAGCAGGGTGTTTCTTGGCATGGACCTCCACCGGGCGCCTTCAGATATGTTCTGCCCGGAGAGTTGGCTGTGGTCGAGGGGCGTCGGATGAGGCGGGGGGGGGACTTCGGTGCGCGCGTAGAGGCCTCCTAAATGGGGTGGGAGGATCGCGCCGCATCACCGATGCATCGGCGATGCACTGGCGATGTATCGTCGACGTCGGCGATGTATCAGCGACGTCCGAGCCGCTGAGAAGGCCTTTTCCTTCTCATTTCACCCCCGGGCTCGCCGCCGCTCACTGAACATCTCGGAGTAGCCTCGCCGCCCCCCCCTCTGGCGCGCGCCCTCGTCGAGCTTCTTGTTTACGAAGGCATTGAGGAACGACAAGTCCTGCCGCGCGCGCTCGCGCGAGGGGGAACGGATGGGAGGGGGACCCGCTCAGGGGGGGGCGGGGGGGAAAATATCGACCTGCCATCTGCGATACATCGCCGGTAAATCAGCGATAGGCCCCCGATGGCAAACCGCACGCTCCTGGACGGGGTGGGCTATCGGCCCCATGCGGCGGCGGCGGCGGCCCCGACGACCGGGACCACGACGCAGACGATCGTTCGAGCACTCGCATCGCCAGCCCCCGAGGTCACGGGGCGTTTCTGCGTCGCCCCAGAGAGAGCGCGCGCGGTCGTCGCGGCCGTGGTCGTTGCCGAGGAGGACGGCGGGGACGGAGGAGGGGGGGGGGAAGGGGGGAGGGGAGCAGAGGGAGCGAGAATTACAAAGGGGAGAGGAAGGGGAAGGAAAGGGAAGGGAGATGAGAGGAAAGACGGAAATGAGTGGGACAACAATCAAACCATCTGTACAATTACTCAACTGGTCCCCGTCAAGCCCTAACACCTGGCACTGATAGCTGTGCTTCCCCCGATCCTCCCGGACGCGTACTCTGCCGGGGTCTCCTTGCCCTGTCCCACGCGTTGTTTGCTCAACTTGTACTCGTCAGACACCCAACTGCGACCCCTCACCCCGTCTCCGCCTCGCGCCGACAGCCCCAGCCACACACCCCTCACACATCTCTGCCCACTAGAATGGCAATTATTCATAATGTATCCTCGCACCCTCCATTCTCCTCGCCCCTCGTACTCGCATCCCCCCCATCACATACCTGGCCACTGGCATGGTATTCCAGGAGGCCCCCACGCACCCCCCATCTACATCCTGGAGAACGCTGCGACCCTCGTACTTCCATTGGACCCTCTCCGACATCCCCTGACCCCCACCCCGACCCCCACAGCTCCTGGACAACCCCCCACCCGCTCCTCACGAGCCGCTGGAGGGAGGAGGAAGGAAGGAGCAGCTAAAGAGAGGAGAAGGGAAGGAGCAAGTGGGGCGAGGAGGAAGGAGGACGGAAGGAGGAAGGAGGAAGGAAGGAGAAAGGAAGGAGGAAGGAAAGAGGAAGAAGGACGGATGAAGTGAGGAGGAAGGACAGAGAAAGAAGGAAGCAGCTGGCTCAAGCGCTCTGGCTCGGGGTCCCGCCCCGCAGGGACGGCGTGGCGCGCGCAGTAGAGGGAAGCTCATGCGCAACCCGCGTCCCCGCCCCATGAACTGAGGACGAAGCGGAGGAGGAGGCGGAGGCGGAGGAGGAGGCGGAGGCGGAGGCGGAGGCGGAGGAGGAGGAGGAGGAGGAGGAGGGACTCCTCCCTCCTCCCGTCGCCCTGCTCGCCGGGACGGGGCGCGCGGGTCCGTGTTCACCGTGATGTCCTCGCACGACGCGTCGTACGGCAAGACCTGCGGGCGCGCCCCCGCCCCCCTCCCCCCCACGTGCAGAGGCCCCCCCCCCCCCCCCCCCCCCCCCGCCCCCGCCCCCCCCCACCCGTTTTGGGAACGGCGAAGGGCAGGCCATGGAAGCTGAAGCAGAGCAGAGTGAGCCAAGTGGCGGATCAAGTGGGGGTAAAATGATGTGGGGGTCGTTTTCCACCACAACCTACCCAAGGTTTTAGGATATAAAGCAGGGGTCCTCCTCCTCCCTCACATCCTCCTCCCCTCCTCCTCATCCTCCTCCTCCCCACCTCCCTCCTCCTCCTCTCCTCCTCCTCCTCACTCCTCCTTCCTCCTCCTCCTCCCCTCCTCTCTACTCCCCCTCCTCCTCATCTGACTCGTCCTCCTCCTCCTCCTCCTCCTCCTCCTCCTCCTCTTCGTCCTCTTCCTCCTCCACCTCCTTGCCCCCTCCAACTCATGGTGGTGGACAAACGGCCCATCAACAGAGGGAACGAAGGGAGCGGATCTGCAAAAATGGGAGCTAGCCACAGGGGTCAGCGGGCGAAGAATGGCAGAAAGAGAAACACGTTCGCCCCCTGTCACGCCCCAGGAGGTCCCAGAAATACCGTCAAGAGGCCAACAAAAACTCCAGGAGGCCCACGAGCGGCCTCCACGAGGCCACGCACGCGCCGGCAAACGCCTGCGACGGCACAGTGCGGGCCGGCGGAGTGGGCGAAGCGACTCAATGCAGAGGAGCAGGTTCGCCGTCCGGGGCGACCGTCCCAGGGCGGCTGGGAACGGTGTTTTTATGCCCATAGGGTGGCACGCCAGGGTGCAAACTGCCCCGCCGCCCTGGGACAGGCGCCCACAGCTCTTCGCCCGCTGATTTTGAAGGGAAGGGATCCTGGCGCCCCCAAGCTCTGCAGGCGCCAACGTGCCGAAGAAGGCTTCCATGCCTGAGATCCGACGGCGCGAGAAAACTGCAGTACCGTGCCAAATCACTGCCCGAGCCCCAGACTCCTTCTTCCTGCGGCATGTTCCGAGCTGGATCGATAATGTGAGGGCCCCGGATCCTGGAATTTCGAGAGAACGCCAGACGACAGGATCTCAGCTGGGATCGGCGCGAGGATTGCGTAAGGGATAAAGGACGATTTCAGTGGATGCCGAAAGTGGGATATGTCTGGCCCAGCCTAGCTTCTACGTGGGGTGCAGATGCCCCAGGCGGCTTCGCGTTGTGTCGTGACGATGCCAACGTCGCATTCAGCGATCGGAGGACCCCAGTGGGCCCTGACAAAAACTGCCGCTCCGGCGGGAGGTCGCTCTTACGTATGATCGGACCCTTTTCTCAGTCACGGCCTGCGCGCTTCCCCCCCCACAATCAAATCGATCAAGTCAGATGGGCGATCGACATGAATCGGATCGGCGGAAATCGGCAACCGAGTCGGGAGAAGTCGAATCAGCGGACATCGGCAGGCTAGTGGGCCTCCAGTAAAAAGTCGGAGCCCAAGTCGGAATTCCAAGTCGAATCGAATCGGAATCGGACGCCATCGGAATCGAATCGAATCGGAGGAATTGAAGCGAGCCCTGCCCCCCCTTCCCCGGACCTTCTTCATCAAAGGCTGCGTCTGTCGCAACTGCTCGAACTCGTAGCAGCGCTGCTGCAGGTCCGTGTAGCGGGAGGAGCGGTAGCTGCGCGTCGGGCAAGCCAACCAGGGGGGGTGGGCCGAAAGTCGAAGAGCCGCTCAGGCGCACCTCTGTCCTTCTCCCTCCCTCCCCCTCCTCTGAGTGTTATCCTCCTTTACAGTCAATACGTATAGCAAGGATGCGCGATAAGGGCCTTGGACGCCCATTTCCAAGCTTTCCGAGCGGGGCGCGGCCCATGAGAGTCGCCAAGGATGGACCGAGGAGGCACGGATGCAAGGGTACCCTTGGGAATGTTCCCCATCCTTACTGTTAAGTCGGGCCTGTCCCCCTACAGGCCGATTTTGGACGAAAAATGAAAAATGCATTTAAAATGCCCTATAAATACTCAAAAATGGTTAAAACATAGTCCCCCGACTATTTGTTTGACCATTTTTGAATATTCCCCCTGTAGGGGGGCAGACCCGACTTAACCTTACTGTGCGGGTTGACTGTATGAGCGAGAACTTCTGGGGAGGGGGGGAGGGGAAGGAGCGAGGTGGATCTGTGTAGCTGTCCTATTCCGAGCGCCTCCGTCTGCCAATTCCGTCGGGCGTGTCCCCGACAGGGGGATATTCGCCGAAAAATAAAACATACCCCAAACATGCTCAAGCGATGCCCAACAAAAATACTCAAAAAATAGTCCCCCGGCTATGATTTGAATTTTGTTTGAAGATTCCCCCTGTAGAGGGACAGACCCGACTTAACCCTACTGTGCGGGTTGACTGTATGAGCGAGCCATCTTGGGAGGAGGGATGCGGAGGGAACGAGGTGGATCTGTGTAGCTGTCCTCCTCCGAGCGCCTCCGTCTGTTGGGAGGCAACTACTGAAAGGTTTTCGTCGGAAAGATTAAGGAGAATTAGGCCCCACTGGGGGGCTGTTATGCCCGAGTGGGCTTCGGATTAAGCGGGATGAAACAGGATTAAGCGGGATTGAGCAGGATTAAGCGGGATTAAGCCAGATTAAAAGCGGGATCAAGCTGGACGAATCCGGATTAAGCCGGATTCTCGGACAAGGGCCAAAACAGAATTGGACCTCCCAGGAGTTGCACCCGAACGTCCGCCAGCCTCCGAGGATCGAAGACGTAGCTTTCTGGCGCGTGCGGCAGCCCTTGGATCGACAGCGGCCCTCGGCCAGGGGCGCCCCCAAGAGGGAAGGCACCCAAGATCAAGTCGGGCCTGTCCCCCTACAGAGGGATTTCGGACGAGACATTGAAAATACAGCGAAAATATCAAAACATGCTCAAACATGATCAAACAATTGTCCCCAGACTATGTTTTGACTATTTTGAGGTGTCCCCCTGTAGAGGGACACGCCCGCCTGAAACCTAAGAGGGGGCTCGCACATCGTGGCCCGAGGCACGCGCGCGGCCAGGGGGACGCCCAGGCACGTGCTGAAGAGTACTGGGCCCCGGGCGGAGAAGCCAACCAATGTGCCACCGTGAGAGCCGCAATGGTGGGTCTCGTCTTCCGTGGAGCCCCCCGTGGGCCACGACGCGCCGCACTGGGCGGGGGAGGCGCGCGCGAACTGCGCCACTTTGGGACCTCCGATGGAGCTCCCTAGGGGGCCACGGAGCGCTGTACTGGGTGATGGAGACGCACGCGAACGGCGGTGGTTGGGTTTTTTTGTGGAGGGAAGGAAGGCGAGGGGCAAAGAGGGAGGAGAGGAGGAGAGAAGGTAACGGAGGGTGTGTTGGAAGGAGACGGATGGGGCGGTGAGAGGGAGGAGGAGGAGGGGAGGAGGAGAGGATGAGGATGAGGAAGAGGAGAGGACGAGGGGAGAGGAGAGGAGAGGAGAGGAGAGGAGAGGAGAGGAGGAGAGGAGAGGAGAGGAGAGGAGAGAGGAGAGGAGAGAGAGGATGGAGGAGAGGAGCGGAGGGATTGAGAGGAGGAGAGGAGAGGAGAGGAGAGGAGAGGAGAGGAGAGGAGAGGAGAGGAGAGGAGAGGAGAGGAGAGAGGGAGGAGGAAGAGGAGCAGCAGGAGGAACGCGGGGCGCTGTCCCTTCACAGCGGGGGCCCAACACCAGTGGATGGTTTGGAATAAAACGAGGGGGCCATACATTCCCGGGAGATATCGTGGCCCCGGCCATGATGGGCCGCCCCCCCCCCCCCCCCAAGTCCTCCCCCCCCTCTTGGCCGCCCAACAGATCGGGGGGGAACCATCTGCAGGCCCCCTCGGGAGGTGCACGAGTCCTGATGATGATGGTGCGTGCGAGGAGTAGTAACGTGAGGATGAGCACGGCACCAAGGCGGCGATGCCGATGGCGCCGACAACGCACGCCGACGAGGATCGGGAACAGAAAAACAGTCAGGTCAGAGCGCAACCAAAGCCACCCGAGCACTGATCTGAGTCAGGTCAGCACTCGGGCCTACAGGGCATCGCCTGAAGGGCCTCGACCGACCCGAGAGTTGACCTACCTGTACGATCTCCCGAACAGGAGGCGCGCGAAGCGAAGGAGCCAGATAGGGTTAGGTCGGGCCTGTCCCCCATACAGTCAGATGTTCGACGAGCAAGGAAAAATAGTTAATACATAACCAACAACAGTCAAACAACAAAAGAAAAACAACGTTCCCAGCCCATCCGTTGACCACGTTTGAAAAATATTCCTCCTGAAGAGGGACATGCCCGACTGAAAGACAGAGAGGGCCGGGCTGGAGAAGCCCGCCGACCGCAGGTGGGCGGGGCGAGGCTGCGTGCCCGGCAGGCCACGAGACGGCGTAGCGGCCGGAGGCGAAGGGGCTGCTTCTGGCCAGAACAGGCCCCGGCCGCGAAGGACCCCCCGCCGACCCCTTGTGGGTCTCTAGGCGTGTGAGATAGTTCCCCCCCCTATAGTCCCCCCCCAGGGACCCCAAACCGGCGATTTGACCCCCCCCCCCCGGGCCCGGGACGAGCGCCTCAGGCCCGGGACGAGCGCCCCCCCCGGGCCCGGGACGAGCGCCGCCGGGCCCGGGACGAGCGCCGCCGGGGCTTTGCCGGGTTCCAGGAAGCCTCAAGACGGGCCAAGATGGCCCCAAGAGGCGTTCAAAACGGCCCACGGGAGCTCCGAGACGCCAAACGAGCGCTCCAAGACGCCCAAGATGGCTCCAAGACGGGCTAAGAAGCCTCCAAGACGGCCCAAGAGGTCCCCAAGAAACCCCAAGACGCCTCCAAGATGCGTCCCACGAGGGTCCCTAGACGCAAAAATTGGCCCATTCCCCACGTAAAACGTACATTTTTCACGAATTCGCTTTTTTGGTTTTTCCGACGCTCCCAGACGGCCCCAGACGGCCCAAGAGGCCCTAAATACCGCCCCAAGACGGTCCAAGCAGCCTCCAGGGAAGCTCCAAGGCAGCCCAACAGAGCCCCAAGACAGCCCAAGAGGCGCCCAAGATTGCCCAAGAGGGCCCCGAAGACGGCCCCAAGAGCGCTCCAGGAGCGCTTCAAGTTGCCTCCAAGAGAGCTCAATATGGTCACAGACGGTCGAAGAGCGATCAAAGACACCGACGATCGCCTCCAGACGGCCCAGGACGGCCCCAAGAGGCCCCAAGAGGCCTCCAAGATGCGTCCCAGGAGGGCCCCTCGGCGCAAAAATTGGCCCGTTCCCTTCGTGAAACGTACTTTTTTCCACAAAGTTGCCTTTTCAGCTTTCCGACGCTCCCAGATGGCCCTGGAGGCCTCCAATACAGCCCCAAGGTAGCCCAGAGGCGTTCGAGCCGGGGTCATCCGAGCTCCGGTGGATCCCGGCTCGAACGCCGCCGGGGGGAGCAAAGGGCCCGAAAACGAACCAAGAGCGCACCAGAGCCCCCCCCCCCGGGCCCGGGACGAGCGCCGCCGGGCCCGGGACGAGCGCCGCCGGGGCTTTGCCGGGTTCCGGGAAGCCTCAAGACGGGCCAAGATGGCCCCAAGAGGCGTTCAAGACGGCCCACGGGAGCTCCGAGACGCCATGCCTCTCAATCTTTTCTTCTGGCACTTGCCACTGCGCTGTAACGCCTGCAGCTACGAGCAGTGAAGGCGGAAACGCGGCGATAGCCGCCGGTACGAATCAAGGGGTCGGCGGATGTGGCGTGAGCCTGGAGAATCATCATCATCATCATCATCAGCATCATCATCATCATCAGCATCATCATCATCAGCATCATCATCATCATCATCATCATCAGCAGCAGCAGCATCAGCATCAGCATCAGCATCAGCATCAGCAGCAGCAGCATCATCATCAGCAGCAGCACTATCATCAGCATCATCAGCATCATCATCAGCAGCATCAGCAACAGCATCAGCAGCAGCATCATCAGCATCAGCATCATCATCATCATCAGCATCATCATCATAAGCATCAGCATCATCATAAGCAGCAGCATCATCCTCGTCATCAACAACAAACTAATAAGCATCATCATCAGCAGCAGCAGCAACAACATCATCATCATCAGCAGCAGC